CTATTAGAGGTATGGGGTGAATAGTGTAGCCTTAACTTCAATAATAGAGAAATAGTAACATTTAGGTATAGAATAGACGAATCACTAATGGGCTCTACCCGCCAGCTCCTAGTACTATATAGTCCAAGTCACATAACCTTAGGGTAAGCCACCTAGTCTATAGTAGGGGAGGTCTAACATTATCCCCCTTAAAAGGATACTCTCGCCCTAAGAGTGGATTCTCTGTAAGCAATGGTACCATAGATAGTACTAGTATTCGATATAGGCGTTATTCATGTCATATATTAGTGGGTTTAGCCATTTTATACCATTTTGCGCCGAGTTGTCCCAATTAAGTTAGGTGAGTTCTCAAGAGCCCTACTCTAGAGGCAATAGCAAGATAATGGCCCATAATCTACCAGCTCAGATCCAGTCGCAATTAGGTGGAATAAGAGGCGGTAGGGCGCAAATACGTGCATTTTAGCCTAATTAGGTAGTAGCTATTACATGACGCGCTAGTCTAGTCACGTGACGTACTAATAGCTTAGTACCTTAGCATCTAAAAGGTATACCCTACCCAATTAGACCCTCCTACCTATTCTTTACTCTATTACTTTTCCCATCCTTGGTGGAGGTGAGTATTTCCATAATTCTAATCACCTTATCGACTGGCGCAATCTGGCAGAATGTAGTAGAATTTGGTAGAAAGAGTTACTAACCGTACTAAATAGTTATATATAGGCAACTTCTTCCCCTATTAGGTACTAACTAGTAGCTTTTGCACCTAATTAGCATATTCTACCTTTTCTTAGTATATCTAGTTCATTTTTAGTACTCTAACCTTACTATTAGCTCTTTCTAGCTCCATTTAGCACCACTTAGTAATATCTAGCACAAATCGACCACTATGCCTCTAAAGCTTAATACCTTAGCAAAGTTTCGCATTAAGTCCACTAAGAAGCACGGACTTTAGACCACCTTTCCCTACCTATCCTATCTTCTCCTCTATACTAAGCATGGAGTTAAGGATGCGGATAATATGTGTAAGATGGATCCCATAGATAATAAATAGGATTTATTAGTCTATAAGGGCCTTCCTTACCGCCTTTATCTCCTTTGTTTAGTTGAGGGTCGTCCTTGCTTCGTAGTAAGTATTAAATAGCATTCTTTAGTATAATAGTGTATAATTGGTACCAATCTAGCACTAACTAGCATAAATAGCCTACTTTCGTCCTTTAGAAGCGCCTTACGGCTCTTGAAGACGCTATTGCCGCCATAGTAGACATTACTAAGGAAGTTCACCTTTAAATGCGTAAGACTGCCTATAAAAAGCAAGTTGCGTTCTATAATGCGGCTAAGTGGACCTATAATACCCAGTTGGCAGACCCCAAGTACATTATAGCCCCAACCGGACTTTAACCTAGCGAGTTTCGCCTTATAAGGGCTCCTATTAAGGTTCCGCCCTTTAATGAGGCCAAAGAGCGCGCTTCATTTAATAAGGACTATAATAAGGCTAATAAGGAGGTGAAGCATCTTACTAAGTGCATTCTAGCAGAGTTAGGCACGTAAGTGTATTATTAGGAACCATTTAGCATGACTTGGCACTAATTGGCTCTAGTAGTAATAAAGGATACTGGGAGGTCACTTAAGCCCATAATGGGGCCATTTATTAGACCAAAGATACCGCTGAGTCCGGTGTGCTCATCTAGGGTTATAGCCGGTCCAAGGCTGCCCTTAAGAAGAAGTAAAAGCTTAATAAAGCTAAGGATAAGTCTAATAAGGACGGTGTTAGCCCTTCTAAGGCCTAAATGGTAGTAAGTGGTATCTCTGGGCGCTATTTAGCAGAATTAGTACCTAACTAGCATAAAAGAAGTGTGGTTATCCCTATAGCACTATAGTAACTAGTTTTACTATTAAATAGAACCAAAAGCGTGCCAAGGAGTAGGCTAAGGTCCTAGCTTATATTAACATTACCTCTCTAACTACTTCTACCTCTACTCCTAATGATCCGGCTTCTCTAACTCTAGCTAGTAATAAGCATTCCTGTAATACTCTCTCTAGTACTTAGATGGCTACTATTAGCCTATTTAGCTTAGAGTTAGATAAGGTTAAGTACTTTAATGCCTAATACCACACTAAGCATTACTCTAAGTCTAGAATATATAAGACTAATACTAGTCATGCTTAATAGCTCTAACTCTTCCCCTATAATAGGGTTTAGGTGGTCTACGGCACAACCAGTGCCCAATTAGCGTGAGATGGCGATAATTGGCGGCTTCTAGTAAGAAATGGTAGTATATAGCAAGGAATGGCAGTATATAGTGATGAATGGTGGTTTATAGTACTAATGCTAGCTTTTAATCCTTTCTAGATAGTAAGAGTTACAGTTTTTACTTTTCTATTAATATGTCTCCTAGCAGCTCCCCTTAGGTGCTGTTTAGGTAATAATGGTCGGCTTTCTCTCTTAATAGTACTAGATAGTGCTAATTAATGCCAAATTAGTCCATTTTATACTCTTTTCTATTTTTCTCCCTACTAGCTGTTTAACTTAGTGAAAATTCAAATTTAGGTCCTTATCTTAGTGAAATCCAAAGTCTCTACATCTATTAAAATACCTTACTCTTAGGCTGACCTTCCACTAAACTCCCTTATAGGAGACACGTGGGGGTCTTAATTAGGTGAAAGGTAATATAGGCCTTATAATTATACTTAGCTTCTACTATTTCTCCCCTTTTTAGGAGGTTGCCCTCAACCTCACTTTAGTTAGGTTAGAATTTCCCTAACTAATCTTCTTAGGAATATTTTAAGCCTTTTCTAGAATTCTTTCAGCGCGTTTCTACTAATTAATACTACTAGTTCCTATAAATTTTCTTCAGGACCATATCCTGTCCACTTAATTAAGTATTCCTATTAATTGTCGTTTTTCTTGCATCTATTAATAATGTGGTCCACTTTGTACACATCGTCTCCATATTAGCGTAAAGTGTCCTTAATTGGCGCTTATTAGTGCGGTAGTCTACCATATAGAGTGTATAGTTTTAAAAGGGATAGATAGAATACTAGATGGACCTCGCCGAGTTCTGGTAGGTCTATTTAGTAGGTAGTGGGAGGAGTGCTAATACATTCCTTTACTTTACCTAGCCTAAGGAACTTCCAATCTATTTTCTTATTTAGTCGTCCTAACTTTAGGTTTCTATTTAAAACCTAAACTTTATCGCCCAATTTAAGCTCTAAGGGGAGTCTTTTCTTATTAGCTAGGGTTTCTTAGTATCTTTATACTACCTATAGCTTTTTGCGCGCGTTTGCGCGTATTTTAAGTAACTTGGTAGCCATTTTAAATCCTTCTAGACTCTCCCCGCCACCTAGTGGCTGATTAGGCCAGGTTGGTTCGGATAGGTTGTAGCCAAAGTAGACCTAGTACGGGGTGTACCCAGTTATGGAGTACCTACTATTATTATAAGCATACTCTACTAATAAGATCTATATTACCTAATTATCCTACTCTAGGGAGTAAAAGATACGGAGGTACTACTCTAGGGTCTAATTTTAACGCTCTATCTGCCCATCTATCTAAGGGTAGAAAGTAGAGGTTAATACTCTTCTTAAGTTTAGATAGTGGTAAAAGGTATCCTAGTATTTTACTCTTATTACAGGCCCTCTATCCGAGAGAATACTCTCTAGATTGCCATAAAGTCGAACAACTTCACGAATCTAAGCCTAAGCTAGGTCACTACTATCCCAATCCATCCAGGCTGGTACATAATGCGCCATCTTGGAGAATTAATCCATAATCACTAGAATAGCGTCATATGTCAGTCCCGCGAAGGCACTTAGAGGTAGGTCTATAATAAAGTCCATTATTATATACTACTATAGACGATCTAGGACTAGAAGTTATTATAAGAGACTATACAATCTATATCTCTTATAATTTACATGCTAATAGCGCTCATAGTTATAGATATAGTTAGAAACATCCTTATTCATGCTAGTCTAGATAAACTTCCTTTAGATACGCTTAAGCATATGAGATATACCAAAATATCTAGAGAGAGGCCTATTATAGTAACTCTTAATAGCCCGTGTACGCTCTAAGGGAGATTCAACCCATCTAGGGTTAGTTCGTCCTAAGCCAGGCCTATTTGGACCAGATTACGCTAAATCATCCACTTCATTATCTAATAAGTTGGAGTCTTCCGGTTTAATGGCTTCCTATTCCTTAAAAGGAATATTAGTGCCTAGGGAACCCCTATTCAACTCCTTAAAATTTAGCACCTCCATCCTTAGCTTCCTATCCCCTTTCTTATCATGATGGGAATGGGTGGTTACTATAGAGATCTAAGCCTCACTTCCCTACCTATCTAAGAGGATATTAGCTAGGGGCTTTATAAAAGCCATATAATTCCTTTACTTAGGCTCCTTACTCTTAAGTATGTAATCTAAACGCCGTAATAGGCCGTCTACTAGATTTATGGACCCTATCTAGTAAGTCATAACAAAGTCATACTCACTAAGGGTTAGGTATAACTAAACGTAACACGCTGTAAGCATCTTTGTCTCCATAAACTACTAAAGGTTATGGTGGTCCGTTAGGACCTTAAAGTACTAACCCTAGAGGTACTAGCACTAGTGTTTAACTAATTCCATAATTATAAGGAGTTCCTTATTATATGTATCATAGTTGTACTACATAGCATTTAATTTCCTTAAAAAGAAGTTAATTAGTTGCTATAAGCCGTTTTTACCCTTATTTAGTATAAGTTGGCTATAAATGGTACTAATTACCCCTCCTGAGGTGTTAGTCTTAAGACGAGTTTATCAACCTAGTTTAAAGTATGCCAGTATAGGCACCTCTAAAAAAGCATCTTTAAGCACCTAGAAGGACTTCTCGCCTTCCTATCCTATATTTAGGGGTACGCTCTCCTCCCTTCTTATAGCCGGCCCTTGCCTGGCACTATTTGGCGCCTTCTTCGTTAAAACGGTAAGAGGTAGCGCTAAGCGGGAGAAATTAGTAATAAAACGCCAATAGTAGTTTATAAAACTAATAAATACGCGAATATCGCGCACACAAGTTGGTTTTGGC